CACAACATATATATATATATATATATATATATATTATAAATTATATTAAAAATAATATATACATATACATATTTTTTAATATATATTGTATATATATATGTGTTATAATTACTTTTATTTTAATATACATATTAGTTATATATATATATATATGTTATATGTATAACTAATATATATATACATATTATTTTTAATATATATATTATATGAATATATGTATATATGGTAATTATAATTACTTTTATTTTAGTATTTATATTAGTTATACATATATATTATATATGTATATAAAATTAATTATAATTATTTTTTATTTTAATATATATGTATTATATATATATATATATATATTTGAAATAGGATACTTTGAAAACTCAAATTCTCTCTCTATCGATGAATTTGGATTTGATAGTAGGGTGAACTTTTCAGTATTCAGTTGAGTTCTTTCAATTTTATAAATATATATACCAATAGAATAATATATCATATACGATTTTAGTTTTTATTAATTTTTTTAAAAATTTTAATTTTTAAAATTTTAAAATTCGATCCGGTTGGGTTCTGAAAAATTCGGTTGTCTAAAAAATTTAGAGTTCAAAACGGAATTAAACGGTGGATAACAAAGAAAAAACACGAGTATAGATAATATTCATTGGATCTTTGCTATTGTGTTTCGAAAACTAGAGAATAGGATGAGTACACATCGGATATCCGAAAAAAAATGGGAGTATTTGGATTTGTAGTAGGAAGACCGGGTATCATTTTGAAATATCTAAAATTTTCCTAAAACCCACTATTCCAAATAATAAATTGGATTCAAAACCAAATATCCAAAATCGAACACCTAATATCTTGAATATCTAAATCAATAGCCCACTTTACTTTATTCTTTTATCACAGAGAAAAGTTTCTTTATTTTCTTATTAAAACAAGCATAGCCATTGACGCGTAGGCATAAATATATTCTGACAAAAAAGAAAGAAAGACTTTAATATGAGATCGGTAATAAATTGGATTCAAAACCAAATATCCAAAATCGAACACCTAATATCTTGAATATCTAAATCAATAGCCCACTTTACTTTATTCTTTTATCACAGAGAAAAGTTTCTTTATTTTCTTATTAAAACAAGCATAGCCATTGACGCGTAGGCATAAATATATTCTGACAAAAAAGAAAGAAAGACTTTAATATGAGATCGGATACAAAGAACATTCAAAACTAAACCCTCACAAGACTACCAAAACCCTAATACCCAATTCTCAATCTAACACTTCCTCCTCGAATTGCCATCATCTTTGCTATTAGCAATGGAGACCAGCCCAATAATCAGATCAGAGCAAAGTGCTGAGTTGAGAAAGATTCATACCATGACAACGATGTCGGGAAACTTCATGGCGGGGAATTGGCCGGAGAAGGGTATCTTCTGTACTATGCCTGGCCTTGGCCTCTGGTCAAAAAAAAGAAAAAGAAAACAGCTTTACAACAAGACAATGGGTATAGGATCGATCGTCGATCATTCGTCATCTGATGGCAAAGTCGGGCTCTTCGAACAGCTCTCTAGCTTGTGGAGTTCTAACATCTTCTTCTCTGGGTTACAGAGCCCTGCAATGGCGAATTCAGACAAAAAAACGTGGGGATCCATTCTTAAAAGAGATGCACTAGGAAGCCAAGATCGTGTAGACACTATCTCGGTTTTAATCAAGCAGTGTTCCTATCGAAACACACAAAACCCGAATACGAAATATCCGTTTCCTTCTGCAAATGGGTTGAGATCACTACACTATCACTTGCCTACATTACTAACGTGAGCCCTTTTTGGCGTGTGTTTTTACGAGGAAAGTGTAAAACCAGTTGAAGAATACCACTAACCCGAGCATTTGGGGATGTCCCAAACAGCAACAGAGGTCGGTGAGCATTCTGGTTCACAGAGAGTGCGATGGTTCTCGTGATTGACGTTCATTGCCAACATCCACGCACCAATTGTTACGTCCTCGTTGCTAAACATTCTGAAACTGCAGTTTAGGAAAAAACTTTCAATTTATCAAGCAAAAAGTTCAATGGGTAAAGGCAATTACGATACTCTTCGAGTGATGATTTGACAAACAGAGCAGAAGAAAGTGACCATTTAATACCCGTAAGAAGGAATTCAAGGAAACCAAACACAAAACCCGAAGGGTTTTCTAAGCATAGAAATGGCGGAAACTTTGAACAAACACGAGAAAATTGAGGATGTAGAAACATGCCTGTTGTTTCTGAGAGCAACCAAACTTGCTACAACGTCAGCGGAAAGAGCATATATCGGGCCATAGGCATGAAGAAAATACTCTTTCCATAACAAATTGGACAATGGTTCATA